CTCCAAATAATTTCTTTCTACCAACAAAACCCACCCTACACACTACTAATTCCGGAATCTCCAAACCAAAAAAAAGTTTTTTTTTTTCTTTCAAATATTAGAGAAAAAAATCGAAATTAATAATTAATTAATTGAGGGAGGATCAGAAAGTTGATAAAAAAAAAAAAAAGAGAAAAAAAAAGAAATGAAAAAAAGGAAAAAAGGGATGAGAAGAGAGTTGCTTTGTGTAAAAAAAAAAAAGGTCGACGCAACTTCTAGGATACTACATAATATAGTTACTTCTTTTTTTTTTTTTTTTTTTTTTTTGGTGAATATGGGCACTGAAAAAAGCACAAGAACATTAATAAAAAAGATATATATATAATACAAATAGAAAAAAATTTTTTTTTTCTTTTTTTGCCATATAAACCCATTTCCCAAATATAAATATATATAAACATAAAGAAAAAAAATAAACCAGTAAAAGATTTAATTAAATTCGTTAAACCCAGTATAGCAAAATACCGATAAACAGAGTCCAAGGCATCAGTAATAAAGAATATACAACATGTAGAAAACTTAATTACACATGTGTATTAAAAATGTTTTGCATTGACAGAAGGCTAGGCAAGGGTAGACTCGACTATAACATGCGTGACCCTATACGGATCTATATTAGAAGCCGGACGTCGATCTTCCAGGTACCCTTTACCTTCAGCAGCAACATGCCGCGGTATACGAATTGAAGCACCGCGATTTGCAACACCATACGAGAATTGTGATATGTGACCTGTCTCGTGTTGACCTGTTAGACGTTGATCATTATCTTCACCGTAAACGGCGATATGCTCCGCATGTCTAGTTGCCATCTTATCGATAGCATCATGAATTGCTTTTATCCCGCCTTCTTCACGCATTGCTTGTGTTGAATAGTTCGTGTGACAACCTGCTCCATTCCAGTCACCTTTTATTGGTTTAGGATGGAAAGAGACCACGGCACCGAAATCTTCGGCAACTCGTTTCAGAAGAAATCTTGCCATCCAGAGATGGTCACCCATATCGATACCTTCACAAGGACCAACTTGGAATTCCCATTGTCCTAAAATGAAAGGAAAAAAGAAAAAAAATAATAATAAGTTAATAAGATAATTTTATTTTATTTTTTTTTTTTTGAAATTTTATAAAATATGAAATTTATAATTACCGGGCATGACTTCAGCGTTGACACCAGAAATTTTAACACCAGAGTAGAGACAACAACGGTAGTGGGCTTCAACGATATCACGTCCAAAGGCTACATTAGCACCAATAGAACAATAATAAGGACCCTGAGGGCCAGGGAAACCTCCTTTAGGCCAACCAAGGACACTTCCTTCCATGTCGAATAAGGTATATTCTTGTTCTATACCGAACCATGGATGAGCATCGGTATAGGTTTGCATGATCTTTGAACAAGAATGACGATAATTCGTTCTATTGGGAGTTCCATCGTTGTTATAACATTCACAGAGAACAATAATATTGTCACCGCCTCTAAAAGGATCCTTAAAGATGGCAGCAGGACGAAGCAAAACATCGGAGTTATCACCAGGAGCTTGATTGGTAGAAGAACCATCAAAATTCCATTCTTTCAATTGAGAAACGTCAGTAGGTTTTTCGTCGAGAGTAGTGGTCTTTGCACGGAGGCCTCCATCGCCATCAATCCAGACGTATTCGGCTTGGATTTTGCCTCCTTGGTCGAGCGCAAGGTATTTAGCAAGGGTTTGAGTGTTGGATTTGTTGCTGATAGACATTGTCATTAAAA